GTGCCGTGGGTCGGACGTGGTGAAGCCGCTCTGGAGGTTCCTGGGGTGCGGGTGCCGTGGGTTGGACGCGGTGAAGCTGCTCTGGAGGTTTCTGGGGTGCGGGTGCCGTGGGTTGGATGCGGTGAAGCCGCTCTGGAGGTTTCCGCGGTGCGTCAGGTCCGCGAGCAGCACACGCCGCATGAGATGAGGGTTTGCAGGTCTCTGGAGTCCCGCTTCCCTTTGTAACCGGCGGCTGAGCCCCAGCGAGCGGGTGGAAAGCACCAGATGTGCCAGGCTGGGAGACATCAGTAGAGCTGCTGGACGGGAAAATCGGCCTCATTTCTGAAGATCGAGTCCCAGGGGTTGTTTTTTTCCTCTTTGTGAGGAGGGATCTGAGCGGGTCCGGCCCCGCGACCCCTCTCCAAGTCTGCTGTGACCCGTGCTTGCTGGAAGCAGGTTTCCCGTGGGCAGGGCTGGAGGACAGCAGAGAAACCGCGTTTGTTCTGAGTTCCCCGGGAGGAGAGATGGAAACATCGCAGGCGAGAGGTTTCCTCCGCAGCAAAGCCCGGAGCTGCTCCTCCATCGTGAGCAGCTCCGGAGACGCGATGGAACAAGGCCCCGGGGCAGAGCTGTCGGGGCACCCGCGGCGGGGTTTTTGTCTCCTGGGTTTGCTCTCCCGTTGTTCCTTCTGCTTGAATCCCGAGAGCATCCTTACCTGCTCGCTGGGGGAGAACCCTGCTTTCCCCTCTCTGTTTACCTCTCTGGTTTTCTCTCTTGAAGATTCAAGTTCCAGGCAGTGATTAACGGGCGCCGGTTCCCACCAGCAGAAGCCGGGAGCCAAAAACTGGCGAAACAGGAGGCGGCGGCAAAAGCCATGAGGGTCCTGATGAGCGAAGCGGAGAATGGGAGACACAGGGAAATTAAATGTGAAGAACCGTTTCCCTCCGACAGCCCTGAGCCGGCGTTGGTGAGTCTCATTTTCCGCACTCGTGAGGCTGATCCCACAGCCTTTAGTCTCAAACGGGTTTCCTCCATTTTCTCGCCGCAGCCTTTGCGCCTGGAGCCCGAGCCGCCATCCGCTCCGGCTCCTCTCAGCTTGCTTCCCGGGAAGCACCCCATCAGCGTGCTGATGGAGTACGGCCAGAAGTCGGGGCACACGATCGAATTCCAGCTGCTCTCTCAGGAGGGCCCACCGCACGACCCGAGGTACGGCATGTCGTTGGCGGCACGGGAGAGGACGGAATCCCTTTTCCTAACGTCCCTTCTCTTCTCCGCACCGCCCACCTTCCTGGACCGAGCCGAGGGCTCCTCTTACCCGAGGAGCCGGGGCGTAGCTCCTCCGGGACGTCTGCCTCCAGAAAGGGACCGGCCCCAATCCCCTTTTTCCATGAAATGTTCTGCTGGACCAGGGCCGGGTTCCAGTCCTGAGCCCTGCGCTGCTTGGAGGATGTAGGGCCGTGGTGGGGGATTTAAACTGGAGAAAACCCAAAAGGATTGAATTTGAGGTGGGAGGAGGGGATGACGACCAGATCGAGTTGCCTGTGCTTAACCCTCTTCCTGTGCTGTGATGTCCTCTCAGGTTCAGCTACTGCGTGAAAATGGGTGACCAAATTTTCCCTGCCGTGGTAGGAAACAGCAAGAAGGGAGCGAAGCAAATGGCAGCAGAAGTTGCTGTGAAGATTCTGTCGGGAGAGTCTGTGCCCCACGTCTCGCCTGAACAGGTACAGAAAATGTTTCGGGTTGGGTTCCTTCCCCCTTTGTTTCCTATTCCGCCGGATTTCACCCCACGAGGGCGCGTGCAGGCTCCCGCAGGGGTTTGCTGAGCGCTCTTGTCCTTGGATTTAACAACCTTCTCCCACCTGCCTCTGCTCCAGCCCGACGTGAAGCCCCCCGGCAACCCCTCCGTGCCCAGCTGCACACCATGGATCCCCGCTCCGGATGAATCCAAGGTGGCGAAAGCGAAGGGCGTCGGGGAGCTCATCAAATACCTGAATGTCAACCCCGTCAGCGGGCTGCTGGAGTACGCCCGCTCCAATGGCTTTGCCGCGGAATTCAAGCTCATCGACCAGTCGGGACCCCCCCACGACCCCAAGTAAGTCACAGGAGGAAATTCTGCGCCGTCACTGTTCTCCTGGAGAAAGGGCAGAGAACAAAAAACTCCCGATGCTGCTGGAGATGGCGACGGGCCGAGCTTCTCGCCCAGCTTCAGGTGGCAGTGAGCTGCCTCCGCTCCTCTCCTCTCTCCACCGAGAGGATTTAAAATCTGAAAACTGACTCTAAGAGATGGAATCCGTCAGTTCCTCGGTTTCTCAGCCCTGCACCGCTCTCTCTGTAGGTTCATGTACCAGGCGAAGGTTGGCGGCCGCTGGAAAAAACGTAACCGCGCACAGCAAGAAGCAGGGCAAGCAGGAGGCGGCCGACGCGGCGCTCCGCGTCCTCATCGGGGAGAGCGAGAAGATGGAGCGCATGGAAGGGGCGAACATCACCGAGGTAAGTCCCCGTCCTCTGGAGCTGGGGCTGCGTTTGCTGCCCTGCGCTGCTCGGTCCGGCAGAAAAACGCCTTCGAGATGCCCTGAGA